GAGTACAATATAAAATGGTGGATTAAAATATTGTACCATCATCCAATTGTGTGAGTTATTGGTATCCCAAAACTTGGGAAAGATGTAGCTCCCAGAGCCTTTGTCATATAGGAACGATTAGCAATAACCATGAGGCCCCAGGGGGCATTTTCTGGAAAGTAATGACCTCCTTTGGGAATAGTTTGCTGTACTAGCTTAAGTAGGTTTAAGTTCCTTGAGAAGTGTCCCATGCCAAAGGGAATAATGCTGTATTAACCCTTTCTTTAAACAGTTCCTCGGTATTGTTGCTCATTCAGAGTACTCCAAGATGACTGAATCTGTACTGTGCTGCTGCTGTCCCAGACATTGGTTTGGGGTATCTTGTCTGGTGCAGTTGCTAGCTAGAATTATTTTCCTTTTTTTGAACAGTCTGTTACGGTTATTCTGTAAGTTTGTTCTCCTGTAACTCATTGTCTTCAATTAAATGTTTCTCACAGAAAGCAGAGCTTTTTCTAGTTTGTATCAAGTCCATTTGGAGTCTCTGTGCTATGCCAGCGTAAGCTGTTCAGACTAGGATGCATTTGAAATGATGCATGTCTCATGTTTAGGACTTGGGGGGAGGGAAATGCCAAGTGAACCATGTGCTAGGTTGGCACTTGTTGCAGAGGGCTTCTGTGACTTCACGGTGGACGAGATATTGGCAGAGTTTTAAAGATTGACTTGGTATCTTCAGTTTATAGGGCATGTCACTGATATATGACTTCCCTCCTAGTTTTTGCCTTTCCTAATCCATCCTAGATTTTTTGTGCCCTTGGCGCTCCTGCTCTGTCCCGTGGGAGGACATGGAGTGGGCATGCTAACAAGAAGGTGCATTGACAGTATTTCTTGTTTCCCCCTGAAGCTCTGGTATCATCCAGTGATCTTTTAATGCATATTTGTAACATGAATCTAAATATTTTTCATAAAGTCATGTAACTTGAGGGCTGGGAGGAGACCAACAAAGCTGTGTTAACACCCTAGTGTTGAAAATAAAGTTAAACAGCTGAGAGGACTAGTCTCCTTTCTCTCTTTTTCCTCTATGTCTTCTCCCATTAGTTCTGTTTTTTCCTTCAGCCCTTTAAAAGGGTTGTATTAAAGTTTTTAGTTGGTATTGATAAATCCTTGTTAAAAGCACCAAAAAGGATCAATATCCCCTTCTACCTACTCAACACCCTCCCCACCTCTCAGCAAACTTACACAGATTCATAGATGCTAGGATCAGAAGGGACCTCAACAGATCATCAAGTCTGACCCCCTGCCCTGGGCAGGAAAGAGCGTTGGGGTCAGACAACCCCCAGGGTAGGGGAGAGCAGCACCTCCCTTGGGAGCCCGTTCCAGATTCTCATAGGGCCTTGCCTGCAAGCCTCTGACCATACGAGTGGCCTCCTCTGAACCCTCTCAAGATTCTCCATATCCCTCTTGAAGCACGGCACTGAAAACTGGACGCAGTGCTCCAACTGCGGGCTGACCAGTGCCACGTAGAGGGGAAGCATCACCTCCCTGGACATGTTTGTCATGCATCTGCTAATGCATGATAAAGTGTGGTTAGCCTTGTTGATCACTTCATCACATTGACGACTCGTGTTCATCTTGGAGTCATAATCCCTTTCTGCTGCTGTGCTGCTGAGAAGGTCATCCCCCAGCCTGTAAGTGTGTCGGTGGTTCTTTTTGCCCAGGTGCAGCACTTTGCACTTGTCTTTGTTGAACTGCATCCTATTTCATTCTGCCCATTTTTCCAACCTGTCCAGATCCACCTGGATCCATTCCCTACCCTCTGGTGTGTTAACTTTGCCCCATAGTTTGGTATCATCTGCAAACTTGCACATAATTCTACGTGTTTTCCAAGAGAGGTATATAAAACTTCTTTACAGTCGGCCTGCTTTGCTTTTATACCATGTTCATGCAGTGATATTTGGATTAGCTTGCTTCATCACTGCTAATCCCCATGGAAGTGATTGATATGCACACAGCAGTTTGCCATTACTGGATAAATCCCTGGGATGCAGAAAACACCTGTTACTTAAAGAATGTCTTATTAATCAACAGGATTGGTAAAGAAGATACATGGGGAAAGCAAATGACAGCTGGATGAATTCATGGCAAAGCTTATTAACCTTTGCTAAGGGCTGATACTGTATTTCCCTTGCATGTTAATGTACACCACCACTAACAAGAACATGCTGTGGTCTGGGGCAAGTTCAGTCACTTTAGGGGAGAAACCTTGAGTGCTAGTGCATGCCTTACTAATCTGACAAATTAACTAATGACTGCTGTTCCCTGAGCACCAAGAACTTTCCCCCTTTAGAAACTACAAGGTCAAATGATCTTGGGCCTGTTCTACATATTTTGTACTGCTATAACTATTTATTTCTTTTAATCAGGAGATGCCTTTTTAACAGAAATAATGATACTGGTACAAACCCTAATGTGGGCATAGCATAGTTTGTTCCCCTTTAATAATATGGTATATGTATTGTTATATTGTGGATGCATCCAAACGGGCTGGGTTTACTGCTTTAATTACTGTTTTAGTTAAGGTGATAAAAGTTCTGTGAGTTGACGGGCTAAAATTCCCACTTCCTATATAACTTAACGTCGCTTGACTTCGTGCACATGATATCATTGCAGTCATAACTGCATGGTAGTTTAGATTCCTGTGCTAAGAAAATTGTACCAGTTATATGGTTTCTTGCTATACTGCCTTCAGCTATGTAATCACTGGGCATTTATACACATTTTCGTCCCACAATGCAACGGAGATGCACTGCTTTGGAGCAGCTGACGCAAGCTGCACTGCGCCATGTGCAGTTGTATAAGCGGCGAAATGTGCATCAGCACGTAGAAAATGGCAGTTGTGTGCTTTTGAACTAAAGCACTTCCGATGTGTTTTGGATCAAAAGCGTGTCGCCACCATTTTCTCAGCACTGACGTGCATTTTGCTGGTTATACAATTGCACATGCTGCAGTGCCAGGCGGTTTTCAACACGCCTGCTGCTGTGGCGTGTGCATATATTCAAATGCCCATTACTTTTACAACTAAATTCTCAACATACAGAGCATCAGAAAAAAGTGGTGGTGAGCTGTTATAAATATGGTAAAAATATGAATAATCATAATCAAATCCAACCTGTATTTTTTTACATAGCTGTCATCTGTTTAAATTCATGTTGTGACACAGCTACTGACATAAAGGTTTGTCAGCTGCTTGTACAGTAGAAGGCCAATGTGTGAGTGGTGCTGAGTTTCTGCTGTCAAACCATTTAAAAAATAGCAAATGGCAGACTTCTAATCCTGGAGGGCCCTGATTTGGAGGAGGAAGAAAAGAGGATGACTTGGTGTTGGAGCGTATTAGCTTTGCATGATCCTTCAGCACGTTGTACGTGTAAAGGACTTAAAATTCTTGGTTTCATAGTTGTTAGGGTTGGAAGGGACCTCAATAAATCATCGAGTCCGACCCCCTGCCCTGGGGGATTCAGTTCTGCTGTGGAAAATAACCAAACATGCTTCCTTACTACTCAGTGGTTCTAGTTTTATCCTGCACATTCAGTCTCCCTGCTGACTTTAGGATTTTTCGTGCCGCTTTCTACTCCTCTTTGCCTTACAAAGCCAACAGAATCATAGACATTTGGATTTCATCCTCCCTTTTGCATAACTAAAGAGGTGGTGGAATTTCCATCCTTGGTATTTTGAAGCAGGTTAGTTAGACAAAAACGTGTATAGAATTGTTAGACAAAAATTATCCTATCTTGAGCAGGAGTTTGGGCTAAATGACCTCTTGAGCTTCCCTCACAGTCCTATTTTTCTGTGGTTATCAACAAAATTTATTTTACTGAGTTCCAATCAGTTAAACTTATGCGCAGTCAGGGCTGGATTTGGCCTACAGACCTTAAGTAGGTGGAGAAGAAGTTAACTCAAATTGCAAGTTAAGCTTGTCCATTGATCCAGGAGATGGGAATATTTTCCCTATAAATTGAGCATATTTGATAATGGTATGCAGGCATGATATGGCATGATTGGGCTCTTCTTGGAGGGTACTTTCAGAACTGCACTCAGAGCCTTTTATTGTATGGTTACAAACTGGGTAGTGCCAATATGTTCTGACTTGAATTTTGTTGTCAGAGGCAGGCGGATAAGTTTTGAATAAGAAGACAGTATGTTTATTTTAACAGAAATAAAATAGCTGTATTTTGCAAACTAAGGGGGTTTTGGGGGGGGGGGGGGCAAAGTCTTGTTCAAGTTATCTCATTCCTAAATAAGACTTGTGTATCAGTGTTGATTTTTATCAGCTACTGCTCTGAGATAATTTTGCTTCTGTAAAACCCTGAAAGATTGACCTTCGTGCCCCTTCCTCTGAAGTTAAAGAAACTGAATGGAGAGGTAAGCGAAGACAAACAAAACCAATGTGTAATTTGGAAGTGCCTCTACAAAAACTAATCTTGTATAAGCTGACTTCAGCAACCTGATGGGGTGTGCAGGGCTGAGGCAGCAAACTATGTTCAGTTACTTAGTTAAAATTTTCCCTGGGTTAACTAGCTAATCATAAAGCTCTGCTAATGGAGCATAAATGCGCTACCCAATGCTGCTTCCAAATATTGGCAAAAGCTGCAAAAATAAAAAAAGATCTGGGGTCTGTATGTGTCTCATGTAGTGCTACATTGTTACCTGGCTTGGAACTGTTCTGGTTTTGCATAAGGATGATTCTCATAAAGCCAATGCCTGTGCATCCACTTTCCAGACCTCCCCCTCAACCAATGTAGAAAATTAAGCAGTAGGAAAATCCTGGCTACTTTTATAGTGATAAAGAGTGAAAAGCTGGAAAAAGGACAGTGAGCAGCATGTACCTCCTTTTTTTCTGGCCAGTTATGCAGATCAACTAATTTAATCTTCCTAGCTATGTATTTTGGACAGAAGTCTTCATCCAATGGATCAGTCTTACAGTCATAACAGAACAGTCCAAGGTTGCTGGATGGAAAGGAGCCCAAATCGCTATTTGGACAGGGTCGTTTTTTGTGGGTGCCCTTAATCAGAATCCATATTGCTGATCGTGAAATGCTAGTCTGTGGTCCTTGTTTGGACACGGGTGCATAAGACTTGTCCGTGGGAAGGCAGAAATAGAAAGCATCCCAGGCACTAGAGAGATTGTAACTTGTTGCATAAGGAAATTGTACCAGTTATGTTCTCTGGCCAGCACGACTGCTTGCTGCCATGCAGAAGGCTAGCTGATTAGTACAACTAGGTACCTTTCGAATGGAGGAAGGAAAGTGGAAGGAAAGTACCGGGAGAGGCACGGCTAACATTTTGAACTCCAAACAGAGGAACTAGGGATGGGAAAGGAGCCCTAAAATCATCATGCAAGTGATTCTCCCACGGTGATAAAATTTAAACAAAGATAACAAAAACCCCCATTCTGTACATGCAAATTAAATGAATAATATGTAGCAAATTAGAGCCTTTCATGTTCATTTGCTTTTAATTAACCTTCAGAACCACAAGATTGATGCTTCTCAAACAGTAAGCAAAAAATGCTAATCTGGCCTTGTTTTATCTGAACATTTGGTACAGGTGTGTGCTTTAGGAGTTTGTTATACAATTCCAATAAAATTTGGGTGGTGAGTGTGGTCATCATGAAACCTGAAGGATATAAATAAAACTGTTTTTTAGTTTGAATAGTCTTATTCCATACACTGTTCATTTTAGGTTTGCAGCACAATTAGCTGCCACACAGCTCTTGAAGTGATGACAGGGAAGCTAGATTCATTATTTTGATGCACAGATTTTTTTTTTTTTCCAGGTTCCCCTTTATTTAAGTGCTGTTGTGGTATCATGACCTGGCAAGAAGACCAAACAGGTGACGCTAGATATTATCAGAAGAAGGGAGTTAGTCCGCTTTGGAACAGTGTGAATACATCATATGTAAGCCAGCAGTATAAAACAATTAATTTTGCATCATATGAGGTTGTCAGACTGCGGTAGGTCATACAGCCCAATACAGTTCTCCTACTAACCTTTCATTGATACTATTGGTATTTTCCCCTTGATTACTTTCCACAAGTTGTCCGCTCAGTTGGTGATTTCCAAAATGATTAGTTCAGTCATTTTTTTCAGGTTATAAATCCACCCTTACTCTGCGCATAACTGTCCCTCCTTGTAATTATTCAGCTCTTGATGAACTAGAGGGCAAGGATTCCAGCTTTATACCTTTTCCCTCCAAACCCCAGCATCTCTTATATGTTTTGATCCATAGTAATAGCAGCTGGATGTGTGTTTCTATCCTTAATCGTCAGGGTGACGTGTGAAGAACAAGATAATGGCTTTACGAGTGCTTGTGGTGCTCGGGCCAGGTGCCAGATGACTGGAAGATGGCTAACGTGGTCCCCATCTTCAAAAAAGGGAAGAGAGAGGACCCAGGCAACTATAGGCCTGTCAGTCTTACCTCAATCCTAGGGAAACTCTTTGAGAAGATCCTCAAGGAGCACATCTGTGATGGGCCGGCTTCAGGGATGATGTTCAAGGGCAACCAGCACGGTTTCATTGGGGCAGGTCATGTCAGACCAACCTGATTGCCTTTT